ACAGACAGACACAGAGACAGAGACAGAGAGAAAGAAAGAGACAGAATCAAAGACAGAGAGAGAGAGAGAGAGAGAGAGAGAGAGAGAGAGAGAGAGAGAGAGAGAGTAGTACTCCTTTGTAGCCTTTCTTTCAGTAGATATTTTCCTGGAAGTTTTCTTCTTCTCATATTTCATTGGTCCAAGCATCTGCCAATCATTAAAGTCATGATTGAGAAACAGAGAAAGATAACAGTTTTCCTCAAGAAATGCAGAACTATTCTTCAATAAAATTAAAAACCATTAATACCGGAAAAATTAACACTCATCAAAGAGAAGATAAAAATTATGTCTGTGTAAAATGACTCTTTAGTAAGGACAACAGGCAATTTCACCTAGGTATAAATTCTAGAACTTTGAACTGAATAGTTACTAAAGGTCCTTATCAGTTCCAAGATTTAGTTACTATGATTTAATCAAAATCATTTGATTAAATAACAGTTTTACCTGATGTTTGAATACTTAATTTAACTGATGTGTGATTTTATTACATCAGAGTATCCTATTCACTTCAAAAATTAAAAAAAATTGTTCCATGAAATAAAATCACTCCTTCTAAACTGTGAGCTGGTGCAGTGGCCCAGGCATGCAGAAGAGATATCTTACTCAGTGGAGACAGTGAACTTCTGTGGCCTCTCAAGAGCTTTCTATTCCTACATACAGTAATAGAGCAGAAAGTAACATTTACTCTAGATTTTATCATGAAAGACAGATGAACAGATTAATAGAGAAATGTTTTGGAGTTGACAAAGCCGTTCCTTCACGAAGCTAACTACAGTGATACCTCGGTTTGCCAGCTTAGTTTCTTTTACAATTTGGGGAAAGATGGCTGTGTTTGTTTGTGTTTGTGTGAGAACAATGACCACCATCGTGTTTGTCATCTAGAAGCAACTTTGCTGAATGTTTTTTTTTTTTTTTTTTCCCAACAGACTGTTCAGGAAGTATTACTTACCTGTACCTTAGAGATACCACAAGGGAATATGATTGTAGCCCCTACAATCTGTAACAAGCAAATATAGCACATAATATGGGTTTCTCCTTCATGTGTCTATTAGGGGAACAAATAGATCCAAAATATTTCCAGATTGCTTAATGTTACAAATGAAGTTTAGAGTTTGAGTGTTTGTCTCATAAGTGTAACATGTAAGGAAGGCAATAGAAATGTAGAAAGGAAAGCAAAAATCTCTTATATGTCCTTACTTCTCAAAATGTATTTTATATATCTAGATCTATATCAATATAAATCTAGCTATATATCTTTAACTTATAAGAATGTTATACTAAATAGACATTAAAACATAAGTAAGATTATTAGGCAATATGAAAGAATAAAGATACCACAGTAGGAGATCACTGTGGAGCTGAAAATATCAAATCTTGACCATGAGACAGAATATCCTGAGTGACCAATGACATCAAATATGTTTGTTTTCTTTCTGTCCTATTGAAATCATGGCATACTTTGTTATTTTATTTTTTTTTAATTTTATTTATTTGTGTGTGTATATGTGTGTGTGTGGCCAGCTCAGCCCACCAGGGGGCGGGGCTGGCTGGCATGTGGTGCTGGGGGACTGAACCACGGTCCCTGTGCTTTGCTAAGCTTGTTCTAAGTAGGTGCTTTAGACCACTGAGCCATCTCACCAGCCCCCATACTTTGTTATTTTATGCTAAGCAAAATAGAGAAGGAAAAATAGCATAGAGTTGGAATAAGCTTAGTATTGATCCTTCTGAAACTAAATAGGAAAAAGGTAACTTGAACAAGTAAAACTACCTTAGGTTTTTCTCTCCTTCAAAAATCACTGATAGAAGTCACATATCCACACCTTTAATTTATTCATTAGAAGAATCAGACTAGGTGCCATAATGCCTGGCATGTGATTTTGTTTAATTTGACACAAGTGTCTCTGGGCAACAACATTTCTGTGGGCAAGTGTTCTAAAGTGAAACTCAAAGAAGCAGAATCTAACTTTGGAATTTTCTTGTGCTTTGTGTTGTTGGAAAAACATTTAGTGTTTAAATACTTTTATTTAGCTTGTAAAATCAACATGATATCTGGTGTGTGCTACTTTACTCATTTTTATGTGTCTTTAAATTGCAAAAAATGACCAAAGTGTGTTATAGTACAGAAGTTAAACTATGTTACACTAGTGTAATGAGGATTAACAAGGTAATAGCTGTAGAGTTTCAAAGACATTTTCCATGAATTGAGCACAAATCACTTAAAGAAGGCTGACTTTTTCTTCTCATATTATCTTTTGCTTTGCAGAAATGGAAGTATTATAGTCCTATTTGACCTTTTTTTTGCTCAGTGGGTGTCAGATGAAAATGTAAAAGAAGAACTGATTCGAGGCATTGAAGCAAATAAGTCCAGCGAACTGATAATTTTCCATATTGATTTGAACAGCATTGATATCGCAGGTATCTCAGAACATTATTTGATTTCTTTGAATCATTAAGCTATGAAATTAAAATTCTAGTAATATACCAGGGAAGCAGTGGGATCATCCTGGACTTCAGGAGCATGTCTTATTGCCTGAGGTAACAGGTTTACGTGAGAAAAAGTGAAATGTGGAGAAACTCCTCCAGAAGAAAATGTGTCGGTGAAAAAAATGTTTGTAAAATATCAAGTATCAAAAAGATTCTGTGAGTCTTGCCACATTCTTGGCACTGGTCAAGTGCCCTCTGGCATTGTAAGGAGCCTCTACCAGAAAAGGCGCTCAGGACTCTCTCAAGGACAAATAGGCCTTAGGAGATTCCAAAGAGATAGTAGTCAGTTCCTAATTAAAAAACTAAGAGAATTAAAGCGAAGAGGCAAAGAATTTGATCGATCCCAGTTCTATATTTATAAAAAGTAAAGTTTACTTTAAAAATGATAAATAATTTTGGGACAGGAATTGTAGCTGATGGGCACAGCCCCTGCCCAGCAAGCACAAGACCATGAATTCAATTTCTGGTATCAAAAAGAGAACAAAAAGATAAATTCTTTTTACTGTAAAAATAAACAAGGAGACAGGAAACTTGGAAACAAAAATGACAACAAGACAATATCTTTGTCAATGTTTAAGTTTCTTTAAAGTTTCTACTCTGCTTGTCTTCCCTTCAGTTCTTTCCAACAAACATACACCCAGTATTTATCCTGACTGAGAACAGTAGAAATTTTCCAGTTACATCTAGGTCCATAATTCCTTATCTAGAAACCTTAAAGCTCAACATGATTTGAAATTTAGAAATTTTAGGATTTTGGAAAATCCATCATCTGTGGTGGCACACATGTTATTCCAGCCCTCTGGAGAATGAGGAAGGGGGATTGAAGTGAGTTTGAGTCCAGGCTGAACTACATAGAGAGTTCAAGTCTTGCCTGAACTATGTAGTGAGACCCTGTCTCAAGGAAACTCATAACCCGAATAACATCATTATATCTTTGTCCACACCAAATGGAATGGAAACAAAACCACAATTACCAAACATTGATTCAAATAGAATTGGTATAGGAAGAGATAAGACTATAGATTTACTTTTAAATCAAGTACATAAAAACATGCAGAATTTTTTTTTTAATTTTGTAATAGCAGATGCAAAAGTAAGAATTCTAGTAGCTTTTCCCTATAGTGTTGTTTCATTAAGCATGGCTTTATTTTCTATTAAGTCTCATGCTGCAGCAGCTCTGGTTAAGTGACGGTCGCCAGTAGTTGGGGTCCATTCTCAGATCGTTTCCTTCCCTCTCTCACCGTCACTGGAGGAGGGGCAGTCTTTTGGGGGTCTCTGTCAGATTCACATGAGTTTCAAACTATTAGATATTCTTAACTGGAACAGGTTGTTTTTCTATCAGTGTGTTTGCTCGCATCATTTCTGTTATATGAGGTCCTTATTACCAATATTTTATGAAGTAGAAATCCAAAGCAGCAATAACTCTAGTGAATTACTTAAACCCTCACACTATTTATATTTAGATCAAGGTAGTCAGACTTAGGAGACTTGACCTTTATGTTTGTACCTTTAAATATTACACTAAAGTTTGAAAAGGGTGGACTGGCATTTTTCAGTAGTCACTCTTCTGTATAGTTACTTCCTTTAGCCATCTTTATTTTACTGTGCTTCAGTTTCTGGAAGTCTGTTTTGGCAAATGAATTGACAGGACTGATGACATTTATTTTAATGACTCCCTACTACTGAACTGTTTTGGAAGAAGAGCTTATTGGTTTCAAAACTTATGTATTTTTCAAGAAAGCTATGTTCTCTGAGTTAACATAGAATTGGTATTACAAATGCCATAAACTTTATTGTAATAACCACTTAAGGATATTCTCAACAAATTGAAGTTAGAGGATATCTTAATCTTGATTAAGTTCATTCAAATTTATATAGCAGCTTGGTACTAACCATAATTCTGGTATTTATGTTTGATTTTTGTTGATATCATGTGATATTTCAAATTTACTACATGTCAAATTAGTTAAGAATTTTGGGTTGGGGAGACAGCTCAGCAGCATACACACCTCCCGGGCAAATGAAAGGTCATAAGTTCGATCCCCCAAGACCAAAAAAGAAGTTCATATTTCTTTTGATGTAGGATTTTATGTAGAACATTTTTAAGTCAAATAACAAATTAAAATATATTTTTGAAAAATTTATATAAATTTTATTTTGCTATATTCTCCATAGATAATCTGCCACACATGATTTATGCAATTTTGCATAGATCTTGTAGAAATAAGACCAAAATTAAGCAGTAGTGAGATAAATGACCCAGTTTGTAGAAGAGAATGTTCTGTTTAATTTATGCATTATCAATACATTTCTGAATGAAGTCAAATTCATTAAATGAATGCTTTTCATAAGGCGCAACTTGTTTTACTTTACAACTTGTATAATTGGCTCACTGTATTTTTAAAACTATTGAACATGTTAAGTACTGAAGAAATTAGCTGGATTTTATCTTTTCTATGAAATGTACTTTATAATTACTGTTTAGTTCTCAATAGATATTACTATATTGGATGAGTGGTTTGTGATTAAGTCTTCCATATGTTCACAGCAAAACCACCTGTGCTAAGATGCCAAGTGCTGGTGTGTAATGCTACATTAGTTGCCTTAGGTGCAAACCATTTTATATAACTATAGAATGAAGAGAGACTTTTTAGGAATTAATACAAATAAAACAAAAAATTTGGCATAAACAAATTGCATGGGCAGAGCATGCAGGTAATTAAAATTAGCAAATGTATCACAATTATATACTGAATAGGAATAATATGAGATTGAGCAAAGCAGAGGTTTTAAAAGACCAACTGCCTCTTCTAACAGTACACCCTAGAGAAAAGCTAAGCTCTTTAACAAAGGTCCTGAATAAACTGGTTATCTACATGAAAGAGGATCATATTAAAACTGTATTTCTCATCCTGTAACATCAAATCAAAGTGGTTCAAAGACTTACATATAAAATAGAAACAATGAAATTGCTGGAAGATAAAATAGGAATAGCACTTGAAGACATGGGCATAGGCAAGAGCTTCCATAGAAAACTCCAACAGTTCAAGAAATAGCACTAAGAATGAATAGTTGAAGTTTTATTAAATAAAAATCATCTGTGTCATAAAGGAAAAAATTCAACAAAGTGAAGATACAATCTTCTGAAATGGAAAAATAAATATTTGTCTTCTACTCTCTGATAGAGGACTAGTATCTAGAGTTAATAAAAATCTCAAAAAAATTAGATCCCAAATATAAAGTGACCCAATGAAACTATGGGCTAATGAAATGAACACTCCTTAAAATACAGACAAATGAACAATAAGTATATGAAAAAGTGGTCACCATCTTTAGCACATAGAGAAATACAAATTAAAACAACTCTGTGATGCTGTCTTTCTCCAATAAGAATCAGCATTACCAAGAACAAAAACAAAGCACTGAGGATGTGTAGGAAAAGACATCATTTTGCATTGTTTGTGTGAATGTGATCTAGTACAGTACAACCACTGTGAAAAACTAGATTTTCATCAAAGAATTCATATCATGCTACAGAAAAACAGGTACACACCTACATTTATAGCAGTAAAATTCAAAACACTCAAACTACATAAGCAGCCTAGATGCCAACCAAGAGATAAACAGCTAAGGAAATAGCTGTACAAATAAAATAGATTTTATTTGTATAAAAGGATTTTTGTACAAATAAAAAGTTGGTGTGATGTTTGAAATGCAAAGTAGCATGTGAATCAGCAATCAAATGCTTTTAGAAATAGATTTTCACAAACCTAAAAGTCATGGAGCTCTACAAGGCAAGATAATGCTTTGCAGTTGAGATTTTATTTATCCATATTGCAGCCCAATATATTTAAAAACTGTCACTAAGCCCACATTCCCATCTCCATTGTAAAAAATAAAAAACAATAGCATCTAACACTATCCTAAACATACTTTGAAAAAAAGGCCTTAACTATTGATAAAGCTTAATATCTTTAAAATAAAACTGAAATGTAGATTTCAATGTTTTAAAAATTATTTTCTTAAAACTTTGAGGAACAACAATATGTATCCAAAATAGCTCCCTACTTTCTGGTGTTCTTTTAATGAATTCATTTAGTGATTCATCAACCTAGTTACTGAGGTATTGTTAGCTGTAGAAAATGTCCTTAAAAATATGTGGAATGACTTAGGGGAAAAAAATCAGTGCTAAATAAAGCCACAAGGCCTTGGAGTGAAGGCTTTCACCCTTCCTATGCTGATGACAAACCTGTCAAAGTTATAGCCAACTGATTGAGTCACACTCGCAGTGTCTTCTAGATAAAGAAAGTGATGATGAATCAGGGGACAGAGCCAGAACCACCTTGCCTACATTTAAACAACAATAGCATCAACGTGCACATATCTTTACCTTTCTCATTTTATATGAGCAGCTGATATTCATCAAAATAAAGATCAAAAAAACATATTAAATTATCAATCATTGAAATACCTCAGCGATTCCACCCACCAAGTTCTACTTATTACTTGATCAGTGTTTCTCAAACTACCTGGTCTCTTTGAACTTTATATGTATTACTTACACAATAAAGACTAAAGCATAAGTCTTAGTGGGTGATTAAAAATTGAAAGAAAAATAATACATACACTACATGAGACATTTAAATTCAGTTGTCAACCTGCCTGGCTTGGGAGACCCCCAGGAAATTCATAAAGCACACTTCTGAGAGTCTCTAAGAGGGTCAGTGAGTTGTGACCTGGGAGATTCTTTATGGTCCTTGTTCCTCTCTCTCTGGTACTATTCTTCTGCTCTGCTTCTCAGCCAGCAAAAAGTGAGAGACTTTGTTCCACTCCAGTCTTCTGCTACGAAGTGTCTGTTTTGAAGTCAGTAAACCAGGAACTGAACCCTCTGAAACCTTCAGCCAAACAAGCTTCTCCTCCTTTAAATTGGT